GAATTGTTTTTACTATCGATATTTTTGTTGAAAACATTCTCCAACATTTTTCGAATAAAATTCAGCCATTGATGGCTAGTGGGTTGACTTTTGCCGTTATATATGAGCGATATCGCGGACGCCTATCTGTATAAGATCCAAAAGATTTGAAAATATTTTGAATGGCTATTTTCAAACGTGTATCAATTAACTTGTTAAGCAGATTCATCATTAATAAAACTTTCTTCTGTTTATGTTTTGGCGTCATCTGAGATGAAATTACCATGACAAGTGATGGAAAATAGTTAAAAATATGAATTTTAAGATATTCAGATAGGAATTTCTCAAGCTTAATGAGTCATACATTTTGAATCTCCAGTGCCAATTTTCCAAATGCAGAAATATCAGATCCTGGAAGGTCGTAGAGCACTAATTAGAAACTCTCAACTTCACATAAACACTTTATAGCCGGAAAATAATAACTTGTTTTAGTGCTACAAAAGATTATATTGTTGAAGGTGTCTCGAGTCACAGATAGCTTGAATTGAGATTTCTCAAAGTACAGTTTTCAGCCTAGATAATTGAGGTTGAGGATGACATTTTATCTAAAATACCTGAAAAATGTAGACTATTGTTATCGCTCACAAATTAATTTATTTCGATTCTTTAACTATGCTGCTCTAAGTGTGATCAACAAAATGTACCCGACAACATATGCATATGACTGATTGATTGTTCTGTGAAAGGAGACTTGTGTAGTATTAAAAGGCTAGAATTTTATGAAGATTTCAGAGATATCAACCGCAAAAGACAGCAGACTTATTGTAACTTTAAAATGTCATCGATTACTTTAACAGAAAATCGAAGTCGACCTAGAAAAGGGCAAGATGACAAAACTCCAAGGTCGTACATGAATCAGGAGCGTTTGCAAAGGTGACAGTTATTAACACGTATATGTCGCAGTTGGTTAGAGAATTTAGTTGAGATTGGAATTCACATAAATATAGAAATAATATCTATATCTATCTTTTTAATTAATAGGAGAGAAAACAGAATTGGTAAATTTAGGAGATTATTTCACATATAATAGATAAATTAGTCTTTTTTACGAGAGACAAAGTAAAAATATGAATGCTTTAAAATATATTATTAACTTAAATGAATAGTTTATACAGAATATAAGGGAAAAATAATATGGCGGTTGTTTATATTAATTTGATTATTTATTTATTTTATTGATGAGCGGGACATGCGGGACATTAAAATTTGTATTAGATAAAAATATACAATTTATTTTTTTTCTTATAAGATAGATAGATTTTTCCGACCAGCGGGACATGCGAGACATTGCAATTTGTATTAGATAAAAATAGGCAATTTTTTTTTCTTATAAGATAGATAGATTTTATTTCGATCATCGGGACATGCGGGACATTGAAATTTGTATTAGATAAAAATATACAATTTATTTTTTTCTTATAAGATAGATAGAATTTTTTTTTATCATCGGGACATGCGGGACATTGAAATTTGTATTAGATAAAAAAATACAATTTATTTTTTGTGTACTCAAAAAGTGAGTACACTCTAGAATCGGTCAGTATGTCCGGCCGGCCGGCCGTCCGGCCGTTAACACGATAACTTTTGAAAGGAGAGTTCAATCGCGATGAAATTTTCCACACAGTTCAGTCTTAACAATGTCTCGGTCGAGTTCGAAGATGAGAAGAATTGGCTGAACCATTCCTGAGTTATTGCAAAAATACTCCTTTTTTCCGATGGCTTCCTATGCGAAAATCGACCCATCCCCGCTTTCGTAAAAAACTTTTCCTATCACAGTCAAATAAAACCCCAACTATTATATACCATTTGATAGAGAATTTCACGAGCTGCAAAATGGTATATAAAACATAAAGTAGCAAGAAGGCTAACTCACCTATTACAAAGATAATTAAAGGGAAATAGGTTCCGTTTTTGTCCACGATCTAATTGACTCACAATTCGAGCTCTTTCTTCCGATCATAGAGTTGATACTTTGAGGTTTTCTGGGGCGGAGAACTCGAATCCGTACTCCACTTGCCTCGAAATATTATTGGTTGAGCAGTGACCAATAGAAATCAAGTTATAGGAAAAAACGACTTTCTTAGGGTTAATCAAGGCGAAGAGTTTAAATTTGAGCTCTATTCGCCTCCAAGCCCTATTGATGGACCAATAGCCAACAGAAATAAACCGTTTATAGGAAAGGTTTCCCAGTATAATTTTGATATCCACACATTCTAGGATGACTCATCTGTCTAATTCACTTTTTGAAGTACACATAACTCTCGGATTTAAATCCGAAGTTTCCGCATTTTTTCTTATAAGATAGATAGATTTTATTTCGATCATCGGGACATGCGGGACATTGAAATTTGTATTAGATAAAAATATACAATTTTTTTTTCTTATAAGATAGATAGACTTTTTCGACCAGCGGGACATGCGGGACATTGAAATTTCTATTAAATAGAAATATACAATTTTTTTTTCTTATAAGATAGATAGATTTTATTTCGATCAGCGGGACATGCGGGACATTGAAATTTGTTTTAGATAAAAAAATACAATTTATTTTTTTCTTATAAGATAGATAGATTTTATTTCGATCATCGGGACATGCGGGACATTGAAATTTGTATTAGATAAAAATATACAATTTTTTTTTCTTATAAGATAGACAGATTTTTTCGACCAGCGGGACATGCGGGACATTGAAATTTCTATTAGATGAAAATATACAATTTTTTTTCTTATAAGATAGATAGATTTTTTGATTAATGGGACATGCGGGACATTGAGATTTCTATTTAAAAAAAAGAATTTTTTTCTTTGGAAACATAAATTTTTCGATGAGCGAGTCATGCGGGGCATGAACTTTTTTTTTGTTTTAATTATATTATTCTAAAATGCGTGTTATTCGATATTTAGCGAGTTGATTAATTTGTTACAGAGTAGTCGATCAGTAGGATAATAATTAAAATCAGAAGAATCGAATTTCAGATGTAAAAGATAATTTAATATTTAGTTAGGCTTTTCTCATTGTTTAATATTTGGTAGATTGTAAAAAATAATTTTTTTTAAATACTGATCGGATTTGATTTTTTTATTTCAAAAAATAATTTTATTAAATAATTTTATTTGATGTTAGTTTAAAATATAGGAACTGGATAAAGTATTTTTGTAATGCAGAATGAATCAATTGAATTGTTTAAAAGTTCCGAGCAGTTGACTTGGCATGTGAAGGGCGATATTTTTCTAAAGCTTTATTAACTATTGGATGATACTAATCATTTTTTTTTGTATGGAATAAATAGTCATATATAATGATACATCAAGTCAAAATAGTCAATTTTTGTTTAAGATGATGGTAAATGGTGTGGGCGTAAATGATATAAAAGTAAGTTTTCAGATCGATTCATTTAAAGTGAGATAAAAAGTTTATGGAATATGTGTTGGAATTGATGAATAATTTTATGGTGCGCTAAAGAAGGAAGATGTGAGGTATTAGATCAACAAGATTAGTTCAAGTGTGAAATAAGTCAACCGAACTAATTAAATGAAAAAGAAATTTAAAAATGGCTCCAAAGTAAATTAATAGAATGACCGACGGTTGTATGACAATCCTTAATCTTCTCGCACGTGTTCTCTTGTGTTATCAATGGAAAATTAGATTTTTTATTATATATCACTTCGTTTAATCCGATTTCCATTAAACAGAATGTATGGTGAACCCAGAATTTAAATTTTGGAGACACAGCTATATCTTCACGTTTTAAAACTTTAATCATTTTGGAACACATGACATTGTTAATCGTATATTTTTCTCTTTTTTTTCATCAACATTGTTGATGTATGACTTTAATTTCGAAATAAATATTTTCATAAAGTTAAATTTGATAAGCTAAAAATGAAACAATAAATGAAATAACTTAATTAGAAAAGTTGTCATAGCCATAGGACTGAATCTTCGTTTCGTAGAAACGAACCTCTAATAAGAAAATATAAAATAGACTATCTTGAGGTTGTCACACAGATTTCATAGATAAAAATATTTTCAAATGTAAAATTTTATGAATTGTTCATTTATTAATACTAATCAAAACAATTTTTATAAATACCAACTATATATAGCCCTACGAATACAACGAAAATGAAATATTCTTTTGTAAAATGAAAAAAGAATGAATATTATAAATCTTTTATAAAAATCCATTCATAATATTGTAATAATATTCAATTTGAATCAAATAGATTTATTGATGAAAAAAAAGAAAGATTTTATTTTTTATGCTCTCTCTCTTTTTTCTATCTTCAAATCTATGTTTATATTTAATTTTGTTTTCTCTTTTTTTTCTATATTTTTTTTCGCGCATTCCAAACTCAACTGAAATTCTCATGTCAACTGTGACATATGCATTTCCATGAATATTTCAATAAAAATAAGTGTTTGCGTTAATGCACCCGTAAAAATCCCATGCCATTCCTTTAGTTGTAGCACTAAGACTTCTCTCTCTCTCTAATGAAAGAGAAGAATTACGTCATCACCCAACTAACAATGAGTCCAAAATGGATGTGATTTTCCATCTGAACTGTTATATGTGATACATTGAATATAGAGAAAGTCAACGAGTAGATCCGATTTTTTTTTCATGTCAGGTAATCATGGTCTCATCATGAGTTAACCGATCTTTCTCGAACTATTAGATATATCATGCAAAGATATTCAATTTGGATTTTTTTCAATCGTTTATAAATATGTGAGACACATTGAATATGAGTTTTCCTTTACATGTTGTGTAAAATAAGTGATACTTACCAAGCTATACCTTCTCATAATATCAAACAGATTAGATAAGTTTATTTATTTAAAACAGATCTTAATAGTAGTACATAGAAAATGACTCACACAACTAAGAGACGTTGTAGTAAATTATTCTAGAAAAGCAGAGAAAGCACGAATATAATTAGTTAATCAATAATAAGCTTTAAAATTTACCTGCCGAACAAGCACTTTTGTTGATAGTAAATTTAAGAATGCGAGAATTTGAATTATCGACAACGTACAAGTTTCCATGCCGATCAAATACCAAATCATTTGCACGATATACATAAGATGTGTCATCACCCCATCCTGGTCGACCGAGGATAATATTACCTGATGTAGAACCTTCAAACCAACGCGTTACTCGATCATTACCGTAATCAAGAACATAGACAGTGCCAGAATCATCAACAGCCACCGACTGTGGTGTACTCAATTGATCCTTGGCAGATCCTTGTTCGTTACCACCAGCCACAACAATGCCTTCTTCAGCACCAGCCGGCCATTTTACTACCCGATAATTAAAATTGTCAGCCACATATACTGACTTATTCTTATCGACAAATAAATGATTGGGATCGTTTAATTGATTCAGATCAAATCCTGGTCCATTTCCACCGGCAACTGTTTGGTTACCAGGCCACTTGACTACACTATTATGAGCTTTATCGGATATATACAATGATCCTTCGTTATCTATCGCTAATCCATAGCATAAAATATCGTTGACAATTGTTTCTCCATGCTTAGCATCTTTAAACCATCGTTGTACTCGAAAATTATAATTATCACATATAAACATGGTTCCATTTTTGTCAACAACAACTTTTGTTACAAATTCAAACTGATCACTGTTATTACCTTTTCCATTACCACCGGCTACCACTTGACCAGTTGTCGCTCCAGGTACCCATTTAATCACTCGTTGATTTGCACCATCTGCAACATAGATCGCATCATCATCATCTACAAACATACCATGAGGAGCCATGAGTTGATCCAGATTCGACCCATAGTCTCCTCCAGCTACAATATCACCTGCTCGGTTCCATTTTGATTTCGCGCATATTCCATCATGAGGTAATGAAGAATTACCTAAGTGATATGAGATATGGGCATAATATATTTGACAAGTTCATGTCACTTACTTGTTGTTGTCAATATAGGTGGACATATGGTTTCTGTGGCCATGTCCATTGGATAACACAATGGAACATTATGACAACGTGGATGTGTTACACATTTATGTTCAGGTTCCCAACATGTTCGATTATCAGCTGCACATGCATTCAATTCTGAGCACTCGACATACAGATATGAACACATGCCGTCATTATGCGTATCAGCCAACTGAAGACAACCGCATGCAATATTGGATGAACACTCGTCATACAGAGAAGCGTTTTGACATGTTTGAGTTTCGATTCGAATTACTTAATCAATGGAAAATAAGATTCACAAATGAAAAGGATGAAATTTACCTGAAAAGCTAAAAATGAGCAAAAGTTTATCCTAGTTTAAAAATAATGGAAAGTTATTACTCACTTGAATACCACCAATAAAAACAAAAAATATGTTGCCCACATCATTTTCACTTTTTTTGCATTCGATATTTCTTATATGCATATGACTCTGCATTAATGTAGATGACGATGATGAGAGTGAAAACATATGTTAAGAGTGGACCTTTTTTCTATTATTCTGTATTTTATATTGAAAAAAGAAGGTGGGTAAAAACACCCACTAATTAACAGTATACTAGAGAACACAATACAAATATAATCGAAGAACAATCGTGAGCAAACAGATCAAAAAAAAAACAAATCTCATATGCAAAGATAAAATGTATTTTATCAGAACTTCGGTATTTGAACAGGTGTATCAATTAATTTTTAAATGCTCTGGTTTTTATCAGTGCAATAGCTGTGAAGTACTCCTTCTATGTCGAATCATCATGAAACAGTGATTTTATCTAACCACTTCAATTATTAATATTACTGGACTACAAAACGATGATCGGATAACTGATGAAACTCTCATGACATTTTTAGTGTCACAATGTGAAAGTACATGAAATCGAGTAAAGAGTAATTCAACTTGTCGAACTAGAAACAAATGCATTTTAAGCATGATTCAAAACCTATCATCGAACGTGTTAGACCTTTTCCCCTTTTTCTTTTATTGCTATTCTTATTATCCCGATTAAAAAAAAACAAAAAAGCAGTAAAATATGTGTTTGTCTCTCCCTTATTCCATTCTGTACCTCCTACTTATATGCAGCATAAAATACCATAGAAAGAAGAACAATGCCAATAACATGATAGGATGATACTATAGAAGAACAGAGAGAACCTTCTTATGTCAGAAGAGACATCTCGTGACATAAAAGAACGTATTTACGAATATCGAAAATTCGAAGAAGAAGATATTGTTGTAAAACAGCAAGACATAACAGGCGAGCATGCATTGAACAATGATAGAAAATCTAAGATTATGCATCTCATGAATGAATTATGAAGCCAGATTGTTTGTTAGATTTATACATATGAGCTGAAACTGTGGTTTCATCTGAAAAAAGCGTTTCTGAATCAACTAACAAGCTTGGAATGAGGGGTGATACATTCAAAAATCTATGTGTTATTTGAGTTATATTGGATATGAAAGAAACTACAAGAACCGAAGGGAAGTTGTGCCATTCACATTCGAAGAGATCTAAAGTTCCACATGAGCTGGCATGTACAATCACAAATTGAGCTCCTTCATGTAATTATATTTGGATTCAGGATATTGTGAAACTAATTTCTTAACACGAAGTGTTAGCAGTCATCAAGAAACACCCTCGATCTCTCTCTCTCTCTCTCTCTCTCTCTCTCTCTTTTTCTTTCTTTTCTCTTTATTCGTTCCGCTTCTTTGTTGGTATTGTTGTTATCGGTATCTATTCTTTCTTTTCTTTAGCTACATATACACATAACTGAAAAGATACACATGATTATTCTTCAGGTTCATACTGTTTCTTTCGTATAAATATCAATTTTGTTAATGACCAATTGAGGTAGTTATGATTCTAAACATACTTGAGGGTAATGTCTAGCAAAGATCGACACGCGTCGTTTTACGCTATGAATCCTCTTGTCTGTAAACTCATTATCAACGATTCTCATCATCAAAATAAATAGACATTGATTGCTAATGTCATGAACACTGTGTTTGACATATCTGTGCGAATCGTTATGTAATTCATTTGGCATTAGAGGAGAGACTCTCAGAAACCTAGACGATAAAGCAGCCGACCTGTTATCGGAAGATGTAGATTCAATTCCTATTCTGATTTTCTGATCTTTACCTAATCAATCTTTCGTGTTGTCGAAATATATTAATGTGCATGTATTTATTTGAATTAATACGTAACCACATGGTCAGGTTAGGGTGTGGGTGTGGGTTTGGGTGTGGGATGTGGGAGTGGGTGGGTGTGGGTGTGGTGGGGTGTGGTGGGGTGTGGGTGTGGGTGTGGTGGGGTGTGGGTGTAGGTGTGGCTGGGTGTCGGTGTGGATGTTACTCGTATCATTGACACCCACACCCCACCATTCCCACACCCCACCACACCCACACTACACCCACACCCATGCCCATCCACACCCATCCACAGCCACACCCCACCCACACCCACATCCACACCCACAACCACATCCCACACCCACCCTTTCATGAAATTTTTGAATAAGTTTTCTTATTCTATCTCTCACTACAAAGTAACCTTGTGGTAATGGAACTTCTAAAAGTTCACTACAGGCTCCTTCCAGGGTGACTAACCTGAACGTTTTCGCAAATTCAGGTGAGCCTGGTCATACCTGAATCAGATGTGGCTACGAAAACTGCGGTTTCCAGTTGTTTCAGAAAACTGCGAAAGTAATATCTTTTATGCGGTTTTGGAGACCGGTGAAAACAGCGGTTCTTGGTGTTTTTCAAAAACAGCATAAAAGATCTGACTTTCGCGGTTTCGAAAACCGTTGATTGCCGCAGCTTGTAAAACCGCGTTTTCTCGCGGTTTTCGTCTAAAAATTTTTCCGTGGGAAGGAGTAAATAATTAGTATTAACTGATTTAACATTTTCATGTATAAAACTAAGTGAAATAATGTTATGAAAAACATGATTTGTTGAAAAATCCAAACAAAAAAACACAATCTTATTTTCATCATTGTGTTAGAAAATTTTCATTTATTATGTAGGTCTATGTGTTTTAGTTTAGATGGTTATTATACAGGTTGATTACGTTATTTTTGATAGTTTTGTTCAGTTTGCTGTATTTAAACGAAACCTTAGGTGTTTCTTATTTT